TTGTGAATTTATTTCATGAAGAGCCCCTTTCATGAACACAATCTGCAACAGCCTAAGTGCAAAGAAGAGGGAAAGATCGAGAAACACTGACCCAAAATTACCCCAAACTGGGCTGTAAGATACCTTCTGCATCATACAGCTGCCACCAGAGAGGAATTACAGCGTTAATGCCCATTTCTTTGACTATTTCCCCCTGTTGCTGTTGTTTAGACAATAAATTATTTTTCTTCCCTTTAGAGTGCCAAGCCCCTCCTGAAATCCTCAATGGGCAAAAGGAAGATCGACGCAGGATGCACTTTGAGCCTGGGACATCCATAAAATACAGATGTGACCCTGGCTTTGTGCTGGTGGGCGAAGAATCCATACATTGTACCTCTGAGGGGGTGTGGACACCCACTGTCCCCAAATGCAAAGGTATCAGGACTTGCATGCAGATGTTTTGTAGTTTTGAGATTGCTTGAGTTGTTTCCTCAACTTCGTCTCTTCTTCTTAGTGGCAGAGTGTGAACCTATAGGGAAGTATCTCTACAAAAAACCTCAGAATCAATTGATTAGACCAGATGTTAACTCTTCTTGCGATGAAGGGTGAGTGAGTGCTGGCTCAGCCTCAACTGGGTCTGGCTTATCAGCGCATACTGCAAGCTCTGTGTAAGCGTTTACCTCAAAGCCCTTCCCTGGCCCGTGTCCATGGAAGCGCTAATCTTGCTAGTTTTCCATGTATGGGAACTACTCCTGTGCAAAGGGTGATGGAGCTGATGCTGGCTGCATTCTGTTATTGCTTCTTGTCCTGAACGTGGTGAGTCTGCTTTTGAGCCAATAGCTCTTGCTTAGTTTAATGGTCACTAGACGGCAAAATGACACGACTCTATCTCTAGGTCCCGGTTAGGTGAGAGTGTTTACCAGCTGTGTCGAGGCACCATTCCTTGGTATATGGAGAATCGTCTTTGTATAGGTGAGTGGCACCTATGTGTGCCCTGGAAGATTTCTCTTTTAGGCTGTGTTGCGGGAATAGAAATATTAGCCTCTGTTCCATTAACTTTGTCAACAGTTTTTCTGTCTTTGTACTGTCATCTCTCTCCACTTCGCAGCATAGCAACCACTTAATTTAAATGTGTTTTCTGCCACTGATGCTCTTTTGTAATTTAAGTGTATAAGGTGATGAAAGCAGCGAGTATATGAGCCACCATGTTTAATTTGGGGTAAGCTGTAGTTTAGGGAGAAAAAAGCTGTATTTAGTCTGTATCTATGGCTTCATATGATCTTGCGTGATTTATGTAACTTCTTTGAAATTCTATCCCCTCACCTAAAAATTAAGCATAAGATTACAGACTTTAAAGTTATTTTACCTACATGGTATTATCTCTACTTTTTAAATGATAAAACTGTGTGTCAATAAGTAGGTACTCAATCAACAATAAGTATTTTTGGCTCAACTATCAAATAACCTCTGCACAAGGATGAAACTCAAAAACAAAAAGGCTTAATTCTATGCCCCTGTACCTTTTATTCATCTATTGTTTATTTAAAAAAGAATTCTTGTTTTAATTAATAATTTACTACTGGCCTTTACTCCCTCACTATATGATATTGATGTTCATGTTCACTTGTGAGCTTTGATATAACTCATATCATCAAAACTCACCCATATCCTCCAGGAAATTTGATAACAACAGATTCATAGCCAACTTCCTTTCTCTTCTTTGGTGTTTAAAACTGAAACAGAATGATATGGTCACTTCTCATCTCTCCAGAAATCACCTGCCCACCGCCCCCTGGTATCGACAATGGGGCACACACAGGGAGTTCCTCAGAAGACTTTCCATATGGAACCACCGTCACTTATTCCTGTAACCCTGGGCCAGAGAAAGGAGTAGAATTCAAACTCATCGGGGAGAGCACCATCCGTTGTACAAAAGATGGTCAGGAGAGGGGCATCTGGAGTGGCCCTGCTCCTCTCTGTAAACTTTCCCTCCCTGCTGTTCAGTGCTCACATGTCTACATTGAAAATGGATACCAGATATCGGGCAAGGAAGCCCCATATGTCTACAACGACAGTGTGACAGTCAAGTGTGTTGATGGGTTTACTTTGAAGGGCAGCAGTCAGATTCGTTGCAAAGCCAATGACACCTGGGATCCTGCAATACCCGTTTGTGAGAAAGGTAAACAGCCCAATGGGGGGAAAATAAGGTATTTACTTACTATTCTCATCTCCCACCCAAAACTACACTCATGGAGAAAGTCAATGGGGCACAGATTACTATCCTACTTCTTTGATCTGTAACCATGTTCTATGTGTGTTGTATATGTTCCTTGTGTGAATGTCTCTTGTATCCAGAATATATTCAAGGTAGATACTGGGAAGACCTGTTTAAAGAAGTCTAGTTCTTTCAAACAAGCAGACAACATTCAGTAATGAATTAGAGCTTTATGATCGTTGGCTAAGATGTTTAAGATTATCTGTTGTCAAATGCTGTACTGTGAATGTTCTTGAGTATAAGTTCTTTTGTTGGTATTTATGTGGGAAGTTTTTCCTTCAGACTGCCGGCCACCTGCGGGAGGAGATGTTCACGAGGTTCCAGCTGATGCGCATGTGGTTCTGTTTAATACATCCTGTCAAGACGGGTGAGTATGAGATGGCCCATCCAGAGAGGGTCCCCACTTGGTTTAGTGCATTAGTTGCACCCTCAGCTTGTCTTGGTGACTTTTTTTGCGGCTCCTCACTGCCACACTCACAGAGACTATGAGGTTCCGAAAGCCTAAGTAGCATCTCTGACTTGTTAGTTCCTTTTTGACATGGAAATAGCTTTGCTGTGAGCAACTCTCTTCTAAAAAAGTCTGCTTCCTGGGAGGGTCAAGGGTTTTCATTCCTCTGCACTGAAGTTCTTATGTAGGAGTTCCTCTGTATTTGTGGTATGAGGAGGTGAGGTTTCAGAGACGTGATATTGGGGAAAAGAAAGAATGGATGATAATCTCTCTCTAGGTACCAGCTGACTGGACATACTTATCAGAAGTGTGAAGATGCTGAGACTCGGGTTTGGTTCCAAAGGATTCCACTTTGTGAAGGTAAGAGAAAAATTAAAGTTATAAGTGAGGTGGTTGGGGGTTAGACACGGCAGGCCACGTAAGAAGTAGCTTATAACTACTTCAACTATCTGTGTTCTATCTCAGTGTAGCTGAAGTAAGAAATATCTTTCACAGTTTAGTCAGCGTTGTCATTGACAAGTAAAGTTGTCAAGTAGGAACTATATATTTGGCATATATCTGCTAATTATATATAATGTGTGTATATGTATATATATAGTTGTATTTATAGACTGTATAAATATGTAGTCATATTTCTAGTTTGTATTAATATAGTTGTATTTCTTATTACTTTATTGTATTTTTAAAATTTGGGGGGGTGAATATGTATTACTCATACAATCAGAAATGTTAATAAAGCTGTTTTGATGAGAACAATGCAGGTTGTAAAGCTAAATAATTGTATCATTAAGTGTCATACATGCAGTCACATTTGCACCCGAATGATGACTGTCCGCCTTGGTACAGTAGCTGAAGCAGCATTTCCCGAATCTCTTCTGCAGCTATTTACTGTCCAGCTCCACCAGTGATTGACAACGGGAGGCACACAGGTGTGAGGGCAGAACGCTTTCTATATGGAATTGAAATCTCTTATGAATGTGACCAAGGATTCTCTCTTGTGGGAGAGAGAAACCTACGATGCATAAGTGATTCTGAAGGACGTGGATCTTGGAGTGGACCTCCCCCGCGGTGCTTAAAACCTCCTCCTGTGGCCCACTGCCCTAACCCAGAAGTCAAACATGGATACACGCTGAATAAAACTCGTTCGTCATATTCCCACAATGACATTGTATACGTTGCCTGCAACCAGGGTTTCATCATGAATGGCAGTGACTTGATTACGTGCCATACCAGTAACAAATGGGTGCCAGGTGTACCAACGTGTATCAAAAAGGGTAAGTTATTTTAAGAAGTTAACTATGGGATGTTGCTTAGAATAAGGAAATGTTTTTTGAATCTGTATTTGCCATTTGAGCTAAAGAAAAAGATGTAAATGTTAAAACAATGAAAGTGTTTTCCAAGATACCTGCCTTATCCTCTCAGTGAATTCTCCCCCTTTCCCCCACTCCCCCATTCCTTACTAAGTCAGTTGAGCAAAAGTACATGAAAGGATTATGGTTAACTTCCAAAGTGATGGCTTCTACAAAATTTATTATTTTTCTTAAATTAGAATAATAAAAATTCACTTATCATTTTGGGGGGTAAATGTTGGCAGTAATATCGCTTGATAATTTTATATTTAAGGCTATAATACCAGTTGGAAAGAGAACTTTTGGTGTTCGGAGGCATGAAGCTGGCCTTCAGACCCAGTGAATTGTCTTTCTTGTCATTTTAGTTATCATTCATCAGTTATATTCCTGTCAGTGACTAGGTGACCATGTACAACAGGGACTGGCAATTAATGACCCAAGAACTGAATTCAACTCACCAGAACTGTTCTCTTTGGCCAACACAGTAGTCTCTCTTTAAGTGAAACCCATATCCAACCCCAAGATCAATGTTGAACCTGTGATTCACTGAGGGCCCCCTCTGCTTTCCTGCAAGGCAACAGTTGTTTGAATTGGGCTTTGGCTGTCATTTGTAGAAGGGCACGTTCTTTCCCCTTCGTCATATCTGGTGGCTTGACTCCATGGCTACTTGTGTGACCCTTAGAGCACAAGTTTTCTGCTATTTAAAAGGAAAATGAAAGAATATTATTGGCTGATAGAGTACAATTGTGGGCTGCAACCATTGAGGTTTCATTATCTTACTTTTGACATATTTCTTCAGGTCATATACCCCATATGTAGGCAGTGGAAATCTCTGGCCAGTACTGCTGGGTTTGTGTGGAATGGGTATTACTAGATACCAATTGGTTGGCTTGTTGCCTGCATTCTTCCTATATGGCCATCCCTCACAGATAGTGTTGGCTATGTGTTCCTCTGTACTAAATTAAAGACCCTTTTTTATTGGTATTTAAGCCTTCGTAGGATGTCAACCTCCACTTAAGGTGTCCAATGGGAATCATACTGGTGGTGAGAGAGCTCGATTTTCTCCTGGAATGTCAATCATGTACCGCTGTGACGAAGGCTACCTGCTGGTGGGAGAGGCACTCCTTATTTGCACACACGAGGGCACCTGGAGCCACCCTGCCCCTTTTTGTAAAGGTGCATTATTTACTTATTTGTTTATTTAACTCAGATTTGTCCCAAATAAATATATGCATTAGGTACTTTCAACTTAAAGTCACCAAATAAATGCCTCAGTTAGATAATTTAATTAGATGTATTTCCTTGGATTAATACAGGCAGTTGATCTAAATACCACAGAATAAGAAAAGTGACTTAGAGTGTAGTCTCTGTTGAGGGATCACTTATGAAGTCATTTAAATATAGAAAATTGAAATGCTTATATAAATTAAACAACCAAAGTGTAGATTGAAGTTACACTGTGATTGTAGTTATTTTAAGTATGCATCTGGCAAAATACTAATGAAAAAGCACAATGAGTTTTTCAATGTATTTCCTTTGAGTGACGGTAGGATTGATTATGGGTATATTTTTTATGTTTCATTAAGCATATGGAATATGAGAATTGAGTTAATATGTAATATTTGTTGAGCACTTTTTGCTGTCTGTCTGATACTCTGCACTGCATTTTGAGTGCATTGTCATTTAACCTTTTTGAGAACTATATGAAGGTGGTGCCATTATTATTCCCATATTAGAGATGAAGTCTCAGTAGAATGAAGAGATTTATAACTTTTCCAAGGTCACACATTAGGAAGTCCTAGAGTCAGGATTCATCTCCAAAATCTCACAGTACTGACCCCTACCCTGAAGAGATGAAAGAAGAAAGAGGAAGTATGTACGTGTATGAAGAATTGGAGAGTAAGAGTCGGTACTGATAAAACAGTAATTTAGAATTTGTACTCATTTAGCCCTAACAAGTCATTAACATTAACCAGCTATTAGTTAGAAACTAAAGCAAAAGGAAGGACAACAATCAGGCTTAAGTTACCTAGAGGTTATTGAAATAGATGGCTGACACTGAAAGACTCTACCTAGGTTATCATTTTGTTATTTCAAGGAAGCTTTCTTTACTGAGAATTAACTCAGTTAATGATTTCATAGAACTTTCCATGAAGAGCAGTGTCTACCTCATGGGTAAATGAGATTCCTTTCATTTCAGAGGTAAACTGTAGCTCCCCAGAGTATATGAATGGAATCCAGAAGGGGCTGGAGTCTGGGAAAAAGTACCAGCACGGAGCAGTTGTTAATTTGGAGTGTGAAGAGGGATATACCCTGGAAGGCAGTCCCCAGAGCCAGTGCCTGGAGGATCACGGATGGAACCCTCCCCTGGCTGTTTGCAAATCACAAGGTAAGTACAAGGGACTTTGCTGATATTTGTCTCACTAGAGAAAGACAGGAAGGGGTATGCCTCAGTATGGAGGACTCCTGGATTTTAAATTGACATAGGCCTGTAACCGGTGATATGTTAGATTTGAAGTAGGTTGTCTAATCTAGAAGAAGCAGAACTTTCTAAGGATGAAGGAAGTAAAGAAAGAAAGTAGAGGAACACTAACTTAAAAGGTGCAAAGCTAACATCACATTTTGTATATCTTGGTTTATCAGTGCTTAACAATTTGACAGGGGCCTCAAAAAATATGTTTACAAACCAGTTATAACACTTAATATTTGCTTTCTAACCCAAGAAATCCCTGGTTACACTGAGCATATTGGTTTTTTATTTGGTGAACTACTCCAACTTAATTAAAGTGAAAATATTTTTAAAGTCCAATGAGTTGTTATATAAAAAATGAAAGAAGAGTGGGTAGACTTAAGGTTCCAATTAATATTTTTTAATGGAATTAGAGAGATAGGAGTGGTAACTTTGAGAGAATGCTAACTTCAGACATTGCCATGGGTCTTTGGACTTCATTGAATCATGCAACTAGACTAATATGTTCATGATTTGGCTTCTTTTTAGGCTCACTCACTCCTCTTGTTGGTGGTAAGTTCTCTTAATTACTTAAAGAATGTTCTAATGATCTTTTTAAAATAAACTTTTAAAAACTTTGAACAGTTTTAGGTCATTATTTTGTTTTTAACTTTATACTTTGAAATAATCTCAAACTGAAAGAAAAGTTACAATAATATTGTAATAAAAGCTCCGATATATAATTTAACGATATTTACCAACTGTTTATATTTTGCTACATTTGCTTTAATCCATTTATATCTCTCTACCTACGTACATCCAACACATTATTATTATCATTGCAAAACAATTTGAGATTGAGACCCTTTACACCTAAATACTTTAGAGGGTAGTATCTGTTTTCATGAATTTGATCAAATGATATTTTATAAAAATTTATATAAAATGTGAGGTCTTGTATCCTGCCTGAGTATTACTAATTTTTTTTCTTTAACTCATAAGAAATTTACCTTTTTTGGTGTTTATGGAATTTGTAACGTGCCCTTCACATTACAAACGGTCACTTTTGGGTAGAGTTGTATAAATAATTAGAACAGCCAGCTATTCTCAGTTTTTAAGTTGAAAGTTTAGTTTCCATTAACTCTTAGTCCTTAGCATGATTTGGCATTGTCAGAATAGACTGGCTTATTTTACAGTAGAAAAACGATTTCACAACTGACAGTCAGATGTTATACACAATTGTGGGATCCTGCTCTTCTGAGCCCCTAATTTTACCCCAGTGACTGGACTATTACTACTAAAACTGAAAGGAACAGAAAAGCTCCACAGAGCTTGACTGGGACCATGTTGTCAAATGCTTGGTGCTGCCCTAACCGGTTTGGCTCGGTGGATAGAGTGTCGGCCTGCAGACTGAAGGGTCCCAGGTTCGATTCCAGCCAAGGGCATGTACCTTGGTTGCCAGCACATCCCCAGTGGGGGGTATGCAGAAGGCAGCTGATCGATGTTTCTCTCTCATCGATGCTTCTAACTCTCTATCCCTCTCCCTTCCTCTGTAAAAAAATCAATAAAATATATATTTTAAAAAATGCTTGGTTCTTTAGACTAAATGTGGACTAGATTGAATCAGAAAAACCTTAAGCTCACGTATCATTATTTAGGAATCCAACATTTACATGGCTCAGAAAGAATGAGTATAAAAGTAACATATCATATTCCCCTCCACTAGGGCTAGGCCCCACAATCACTTCTAAATGATATAGGTCACAGTTTTCTGGTATTCGATAATTGCTGTTTTATTTTCTAGGCTTTTCTGTAGGTTTGCTATTTCTTCTCTTCTTGACTGCTGTCACCTTATACCTGATACCCAGACACAGAAAACGGTAAGTTCAATGCCTGCTTGGCCAAAGTTCACGAAGGTTTCAGCTTCTTGCCTGAAACTAAACGTGGAAGCACAAGTTACCTGAAAGGAGTACAGCAATGTGAGAACTGGAATGTGGCTTTTCTGCAACACACGGAAGCCCTACCTGGCAGATCTTAAATGATATCAGGCGAGAATTTAAATCATGAGTCATCATTCAGATGACTCATCACAAAAATTCTAGAAAGCAGAAATTCAAAAAGCCTAGTGGAAACAAATGCAGGTATTTTGGTATATCCCATCTGATCTTTTTCTTACATTCTTTTTTTCTTTTAAAATTGAGATTTTGACATTATAATCTCCTGCCTTAATTTTTTTTTCATTTTGCGTATGTACATATTTTTGTGTCTTGAAATCATGCTTTCCTTTTAATTATATAATAGATTATTGTTCTGTTTCATGTATGACTGTGGTAATTTTCGGTTGCTTCCACATTTATCTTGATAATAAAGATATGAACACCTTTAATAAACCTTTTCACATACATGTACTTATTTCCAGAGCATAGATTTCTAGAATTTCTAGGGATAAATGTATGATGTTTTAAGATGCATAATAAATATTGCCAAATGACTTTCCAGAAAGTTTGTCCTAACTTGATCAAATATCAAATTATTAATATATTTGCATATTTTGTGTTTCTGGGCTCCTTTTCTCCTTCATTGAGCTATTTTATTAAAATCACTTTGTATTTATAAGTATGGCTTTCTACTCTTATAATATTTGGTAGGGCAGGAATTCCCTCACTATCACTTTTTTTTTGTTCTTTCAGATGATTTTAGATCATTTGTAATTTCTAAAAACAGACATGTTGTGATTGCATTTAAGTCTATAGATTAATTTGTGAGAAATTGGCATCTTTTCTGTAAAGTCCGACAATAAAGAAGCCAGTTGCGTGTTTTTTAAACCAATGTTCCCTAAACTAATTGGACTACACAACTCTCTTTTTTTTTCCTTTCTCTCTCTCTCTCTCTCTCTCTCTCTCTCTCTCTCTCTCTCTCTCTCATATAATGCATTTAACAACTCATGGAACTAACGTTCCACTTAACAGACATTTGGGGAATCTAAGAAGGTGGTCAGGAGCTAGATCATCAGAAGCCTTCAGGCCATAACGAGGAGTTAGGGTTTATTCTATAGGAACTGAAGCAAGAGAAAAATATGTTCAGATTCACATTTTTAAGAGAAGGGGCAGGGTTGGGCCATCAGCCGAAGCAGCAGTGGCAGGGGTCCAGAGGATGGAGCAGGTGCAGGACGCATCTTCACGGTTGAGAGCCTAGGATTTCCAGGACTGAGTGTCGTGTGGAAAGGAGGGAGAAGGGGGCACAGAGAATGAGCCAAGTGGAGGTCACTTGAGGTCCCAGTGTTTCACCAAAAGAGGGAAAGGGCAGGTTTGTGGGGAAAGATGACTGGCTCCGTGCTGACTTTGCCACTTTGTGGCACTTGCGATGTAGGACTCAAGAGAGGGGCCTGAATTCAGATAGGTGACGCTTACATCACCATGGAAGCCTTGGCGCCAAAAAAAAACCCTTAAAAGGTAAAAATAGGATGAAAACCAATCCCAGAACAGTAATGCTTAAGAGGCAGGAGGGGACGGAGCAGTCAGAAGTAGGAGGAAAGTTAGGAAACAGTTGTTTCCCACAATTCAAGGGAGAAAAAGGTCTCAAAAGAAAAAACAAACAAAAAAACAACAGAGGGGTGTCATTTGCATGCCTTTCCTCGCAGGAAGTTAGAAGATAATTTTAGCCAAGAATAATTACACATTTAAATAAGTAGAGAATGTGGTCTCTATCTCTTTCCTTCATGCTCCTTCCTAAATTTCCTATCAAGACATAGCATGTGTAGGAGAATATGCAACCTTTGGGAATGCTACAACCTGAAATAATTATGTTCATGATGATTATGAAGTTTATTAACATGATTACAACACACACTATTATTTAAGTGCCTCCACTGATAGGAACCAAATGTTTATATTAAACCAAATTTCTAAGCATCACCTTCTTATTTTATTTCCATTTTCTAACCAAATTCAATTTATTTTTTTATAGTTGATACAGTCATTTCACCTGCCTTAAGTACTTTTTGCAAATGAGATGAATAATTTTACAGTGGATGTCTTGTAACAAAATTAAATATTTATAAAAGCCATCTAAACAGTTGAAGGAGAAACTATTCTTTTTAGGCATCTAACATATTTTCATAAAATCTAAATGTTAAATTGACCTAAAATTACCATTTTATAACATTCTTAATGTATCTTCCTGTAATCTGACCTCTAAAATATGGTACTTAGGGGAATGCTGTAACCCTAGAAGTAATCTTTGTTTCCCAGCAATTTTGTAATACTTTATTTCAGAGTTCTACGTGGTAGAATAGTGACATTTTCTTGTCCTTTCCTAATGTCAGCAAAGTGGTTTTAGAAGCACAGCAACGTATATGTGCTTTCAAAGAGGAAAAATAAAAATACCCACTTAAAATCATGTAATGCTTTCAGTGGTATATGACTATGTATTAAACATCAAATATAAAATTTTCCTTTTAAATTAGATTTGGAGATTATGTCGCCAAAAGGTAAATCTATGATGATGTCCTAAAAAAAAAAAAAAAAAAATCTTTGATTTCCCCCTCCCCCTCCCCCCCAAGACGGTTGGTCATAGTTATTAGTCATTGAAGTCCTGGATCAAAAGTAAAGCTGTGTAATGTCACCTTCTGACCGGGGCACTTGGCAACCTAGCACGTCGTTTATTTTTATGGCCTTTTCCAAAATTGGGGATTTTAGTGATTATTACATTGGTTACTTAGGACAATGTATGATGAAAAGTACTTATCCATGAAAAGTACTTATCATGTGTTGGGAATTATGGAAAGAAAACAACTGTTACATCTTTGTAGTAATCACAGCCAATGAGTAAAGATTTTACTTTTTTCTTCCTTCTTCCATTTAGCAATTATTATACAAACAAAAGCCCTACAGAAGGAGATCTTCGCTTAGAAACACGAGAAGTATATTCTATTGATCCATACAACCCAGCAAGCTAACCAGAAAATAAGCAGGTATTTAATGAAAATAAATTGTTTTCTTAATTTCTATGTCAAAATGGTATTCAAAGTCTACTCATCAATAAGCACAGTGCAAAGTATTGACTGTTCTGTTGCAGTTTTTAAATCTTGCATAGAAATTCACATAATTAGATCATGTTGCCAATTAATATTCCTGTTATCTTTTATTCATTTATCCATTCAACAAATACTTAAGTAACAAAGTGATTAAGAATACTATAAATAAGAAGATGGAAGTAAAGTATTATGAACACAAATAAAGCAGGAAAGGGGATAGGGAGGGCGGGGTAGTTGGAAGGGAAGACTTCACTAAGAAAATGGCATTTGAGTAAAGATTGGAGTGAAGTAAGGAGCCAGCCAAGTGGGGGGAGAACAGCGCATGAAGAAAGAACAGCAAGTGCAAAGATCATAAGGTGTGGTGTGCATGCAGTGGCCAGTATGGCCCACTATGGCTGGCCAAGGGAGAAGTGGCAGAGATGAAATTAGAGAGGGAAGGGGAGGAGGGGGAGACGATCCATCATGTGGAGTATGCTAGGTCATTGAATGAACTTGGTGTTCATTCTAATCTGGGAACCATTGGAATGGTTAAGCGGAAAAGCTAATGGTCACCTTAACTGCTATGTTAAGAACAGAGTGTAAGACACCAAGGGCAGAAAATAGGGAATCACTGAGGACTCCATCACAATTATCCAGGCTTATGCTGTGAGTGGCTACCACCAAGCTGGTGGGAAGAGGTCAGATTCTGCATACATACATTTTTAGTACAGTGATAGGAGGATTTGCTGACCGTTTTAAATTAGATTTGGGTCATTCGTTGACAAAGGTAGCATTCAAGCTCAAATCTGACTTCAAACGGCTTTATCCTACATAATCTATAAAATAAAGAAACCACCTCTGATCTCTTGGAACTTTTATAGTAAAATAAAAAATAAGACACACATAAGAATATATACCACTAGAGGCCTGATGCACAAAATTTGTGCACTGTGGTGGTGGTGGGAGGTCCCCTCAGCCCAGCCAGTTCCCTCTTACAGTTCGGGAGCCCTCGGGGGATGTCTCACAGGGAGCCGGCCTAAGCTGGCAGTCAGATAACCTTAGTGCTGCCTTGGAGGCGGGAAGGGCTCCTGTCACTGCCTCTGCATTCACCAGCCCTGAGCCCGGCTTCTGCCTGAGCAGCACTCCCCCTGTGGAAGCGCACTGACCACCAGGGGGCAGCTCTTGCATTGAGCGTCTGCCCTCTGGTGGTCAGTGCGCATCATAGTGACCGGTCGTTCCACTGTTCGGTCTATTTGCATATTAGCCTTTTATTATATAGGATAAGCAAGATACAGAAAAACTGCTGTGGCAGTGGAGCAAGAAACGTTTATTTGCTGGTGGTGAGTCAGAAGAATGTGGTTGAGGAGAACAGGGGAGGCCAGAGTGATCTCTAAATCCAAACCTGTGGGGACCCAAAGTAAAGCTATTACATCAGTATCTGTTAGTGAATGTGTGAATGAATGAGGATGCGACTATGGCTTGATGCTTTATTGGTTCTAGCACTTATAATTGGTCTGTACAGAAAATGTTAACATTCCCATTATTTAAACTTTGACTCAAACCAATGCTATTCATGCTGCCTCCTAACCAGGAACTCTTATTTCAGTGTGCCTCCTTGCTTGGAATGCAGCTGAACACGGGTTGGAAAGAAATCATTTGAATATCAGCAAGCCTATCTGTATGGGCGCCACATCACCGAAATGACGTCTTAAGCTATAACTTCCTATTTGCACTATTTCTCGAGCAGCACAAGGAACGGTTGCCTGTTGAGAAAGTTGGGAGCCCAGTGTCACTGCCACCTGCTCTTCAAGGACTTTCTGAAGCCTCGCCTGTGATGTGCCTGGAGCCAGGCTTTGGCTATCAGCGGTTACATACTAGTAGCTCTGAGGAGTCACCTTTCCTAGGAAGTCACTAAAGTGAACTGTTTTTATATGCGGACTCTTCCTTTTTTATAATCAGCATTCTCAGTTACCATATTCTTTTGGTTATAGTGTGGTTTTAATTAAGCAATGTATGAAGCATTTCCTGTGGTTACGAGTCGCATAACTTTGTTGGGAAGTTTACTATAATAGTAGTTTTCTTCTCGAATATGATTAAATATTTCACTTCTTCACTTGGCTTGAATTTTTCTCACAATATATTGCCTTTGGTTATTGGGGGGTTTTTTTTGGCAGAATTTATTGGTTTATTTGCCTTTCCTCAATCACTCAGTAATTCGCATTTGCACAAATTTTTTTTAAGTTAAGAGAGTCAAGTTTTAATTGTAACATTTTGGTATACAATTTACACTTTGGGTGTTTCATAGGCAGTTTTATCAGAAGCTCTAGCTGCTTATAAAATGTCATTTAATAGTATATACACTTGTTATTAAAATAAATTTTATCTTTAAAAAATGTGCCTTATATGATATTTTTCTGGATTCAATGAATTCCTGAATACAGACATAGTCAGGGTTTTAGAGTTTGTAATTTAACATGCATTCTAGGTACCACCACCTTGTTTTTTTTGGCCAAAGTCTTAAATCACAAATTTAATTCCCTCGTCTTCAAGAATTTCTCTTACATTTGTCCAACGATCAGCTTCCCCCCATATCACCACACTCTTCTCTCTGGCCATTCTCTAAAGCCAGCTGTTGATTGTCTCTGTTCCAGCATTTAATCTATTGGGAAAATAAAATCCTGCTCACTGGCTACCAAAAATTACTCTCCCATCTCCTCTCAGACTATATACGCTGTTTTGCATCTTTTGATGAATTGTGGTAAAAAGTATATAACAAAATTTTTCATCAGAATCCTTTTTTAAAGTGTACAGTTCAGAAGTGTTAAGTATGTTTACATCGTTGTGCAATAGATCTCTAGAACTTTTCTGTGTTATAAAAATTAAATGCTATTTCCTTTAGACAAAAACTTTACATTTCCCCCTTTCCTCCAGTCCCTGGAAACCACCATTTACTTTTTGTTCCTGTGAATTTAACTAATTTAGGTGCTTCATATAGGTGGAACCATACAGTATTTTCCTTTTGTGACACGTGTATTTCACTTAGCACATTGTCCTCAGGGTCCATCCCTATTGCAACATGTGCCAGAATGTGCTATCTTTTTCAGGCTAGATAGATCATTCATTGTATGCGTTGTCCTCAGGGTCCACCCCTATTGCAACATGTGCCAGAATGTGCTTTCTTTTTCAGGCTAGATAGATCATTCATTGTATGTATATATATTTTGTTTATCCATTTATGTGTCAATGAACATTTGGCTTGTTGTCACCTCATGGCTGTTGGAAATAACACTACTTAGAATGGAGGTGTGCGGCAAATATCTCTATCTCTCTCAATTTCCTCTCCTTCCACCTCTAAGCTTATCTATATTCATTCATCAATTCCACTGACCACATTCACAGACTACACTGTTCTCCCCCCCAACCACCACCACACACTCACTCCCTGTTTCTTCCAGGACATGGCTCCCTCAGTTATACCGTCTCATCACTGGCTCCTTTCCACCTGCCAACCTGGTGCAGCTAGTACCCATTCATCTCCAAGTCACAGAAATCTTATCTCCCACTGGCTTAGACCAAAATTTATTACATCACATGACAGAAAAGATCACAGGTTCTGCTGCTTCAGTCAAAACAGGAAAATATACAAATCACATCCTCAGGAATCTATTCCTCCCCCCCAACCCCCCGTTCTGCTTTTCCTCGCAGGCCTCCTTCTGTGGTCGACACTCCCTAAAAACTGGAAAAGTATTTGCTGACAAGGCCAAACACATACCTTGTCGGCTTAGCATTCCAGCACAAAGAGCTTCTCTCTAATAACTCCTTCAAAAGTCCCTTCATTAGCTCTAATTTGTCACACACAAAAAATGGCACATATCTCCACTGAACCACTTACTAGGGCCAGGGCAGTGAACTAGGCAGATGGCAAGGCTTGAGCACTGCCCACAGTTGGAGCTGGAGTAGAATTGATGTATCCTTCCCTTTACCACTGCTGTATCTACGAAAATAACCATAGCTCCCTCAATCATTTCACTCATACACTCAACCAATAACTATGTACATCCTTCGGTGTGCTAAGCGATGTTTTAGGTCATGGGATTTAGCAGTGGCAAAATGACAGTGCCCGTGTAGCCTTTATGTTAGTGAGGAGAGAGACAATAAGCAGATCTATATATAAAAAAAGATATAGGTACAATATTTTAAATTCTCTAAATCAGTGAAAGGGGAAAGAAAGTTCAGTGGATAGGCCATTGTTCATAGTGGCCAACGAAGGCTTTATTAAAGGGTCACACTTAAGCAAAAGCTGAGGGCGGTGACCATGCAGAGAGGTTTCTGGTCAGAAAGTATTCCCAGCAAAAGGACCATTAGAAGGAAAACAAAGAACTATGCCTGCTGTTTTGGAGAAATGACATATGTGTATGGGTAAGGTAAACTCTACTAGAAAGGGGGAAACAGTGATACTGAAGAGAGAGGAACATTACTTAGCCAATGGGAAGGGTAGCAGAGGTATGGCAAATTACCATGATTCTCTCTCTCTCTTTTTTTAAATATATTTTATTGATTTTTTCAGAGAAAGGGAGAGAGATAGAGAGTCAGAAACATTGATGAGAGAGAAACATCGATCAGCTGCCTCCTGCGCATCTCCCACTGGGGATGTGCCCACAACCCAGGTACATGCCCTTGGCCGGAATAGAACCTAGGACCTCTCAGTCCGCAGGCCGACGCTCTATCCACTGAGCCAAACCGGTTTCGGCAGAAATTCTCTTTAACTGCTTCTATTTTTCTCTGAAGAAAAGCAGCAAAGGTATAAACAGAGATTGAGAATGATGTAGGAGATGTCTGCATTCAATGTTAATATAAAAATATGAAGTAGCAACTTAGGAGAATGATGGAGTAAGTGGACTAGGCAAGTACGGTAGGAATACCTAGAAGCATCACAGTGGTCCATTTGAAAGGAGCCATCTTTAAAGTAAGATTAGGCATTATGGATACAGGTTTTTCTCTAGCCACATTCAGTGCCTTGGGTACAGGAACAAAATTATGGAGAATTGACTCTAACCAGGATTATTGTTTGTCTGAAGCATGTAATAAAGTAAGAGACGAACAAGGAAGCTGAGGATGTATGCAAGATAGTGATTACAGCGATGGACCATGGAATTTAACCTGCTAAGGTGGAAAGTGAGGGCACTAAGGGGGTTTGAGACTGAAAGACGGTGGTGAGATAATGGGTTGCGGGTACTGAGAAATACAACGATGTTTGGGTCCAGGCAAACTAGAAGGATAGATTTGGTGGTTGGACAGTGAAATGGTTGAAATTCTGGAGGTATTATAGCTCAATGAGAATAAAATCAAAGGTACTTCCATGGGCATAAGTGGCAGAGTAAAGTGAAAGATAAGATCATTGGCAGAGAAGAGGAAGGCCCTGAAAGGGCAGGTGTTTGAAAATAGCATCGCTGGGAATATCAAATCACTGAGGGCTATTAATGCAGGGAGAATGGAGAAGGTTGCTGTGAGCTAGAAGTTAAACTTTCAAGCAATGAGGACAGAAAGCAGTTGTTAGGAGATTAATGCACAGGAAGTGGAAATGACTGGTGTATTCTGATAGCATGTGACGTAAGACTGAGGAATTGAGTCATCAGCCTACTAGGATATGGCTTCTTCCATCTCTCTGTTGAGAATAGCTTAAACGCATGATAAGAGGGCCTTGAGAGAATGGTACTAGAACTATTAAAAAGGAAGTACAATAAGTGATATGATCAATGTATATATTTCTTGCAGTAGAGTCTTAAAAGAGAAAGTAATGGAAAATAAAAAACATACCTCGCATTTGGGACACTGTCCTTTTCAACGAGTGAGGGTAGGAGCTGAGACTTGAGTAGGCAGGAACAAATAAAGACAGTATTCTGGAATCTTTATGTGAGCTAAGGCTATGTGTGCTGAGTTAGATAGGTTTGTTGGACTATGGGTCTCTGTGAAACTGCACTGGGTATAGTTTTCCACCTTGAGTATCTTTGCTCCACTTTGAGTCATGGGTCTGCATGGGGGAGACAAGAGCTCACACATTTACTGACATATCTGCTACAATATCTTTTCAAGCCTCTTCCCGCTCTACAGCATTTAATATTTGGGATTTCTCCACTCTCCATTCAACCCATTCCAACTCTGACTCTTGTTCCTAATAATTTTGAAATTTGGGTTCTTGTCTCAGAGGCTAAAGACCTCCAAGGTTCAGGGCTAGAGCTGACTCTACATAACTGGTTTGCTTTGTAATCTCATGTACTTTATTTTATGCATCCTATATAATAAAAGGCTAATATGCAAATCGGCTGAACAGCGGAACGACCGGTCGTTATGATGCACACTGACCACCAGGGGGCAGATGCTCAATGCAGGAGCTGCCCCCTGGTGATCAGTGCACTCCCACAGGGGGAGCACCACTCAGCACAGCACCAGTGGTGGCAGCCTCTCTGGCCTCTGTGGCAGTGCTAAGGACCCCTTGGGGGATGTCTGCCTGCCAGCTTAGGCTTGCTCCCCACTAAGCCAGCAGGCAGACATCCCCTGAGGGGTCCCGGACTGCGAGTGGGCACAGGCTGGGCTGAGGCTCCCACAACCCCACCCCCAGTACACAAATGTCATGCACTGGGCCTCTAGTTTAAAAATAATTCTGAGAAAGGATCCATAGGTTTTACCAAACAGGCAAAGAGATCTATGATTTACACAAAAATGTTAAATGTTTTCTTTTTTAAAGCTCTCTTCTTGGGCCTTTCTGAAAAGCCAGCTTCATAATTAACACAATACCTATATTCCTAAGCTTTTCCTAGAACATTCCCACATCCCTGGGACCTCAATATACTCAATCTGTCCCATAGCCAAGCTTTCTCAGTTAAAAAACAAAACAAAAACAAAAAACTTTTACACTTTTCCTTGATCCATCAACCCTCTCTCCCCTCCATATTAGTTTCCTGCCACTGCTGTAACATGTACCTTGTAGGTTAAAATGACACAGATTTTACAGTTCTGTTCAGAAGTCCAAAAAGAGTCTGACAGGGCTACACCCACGGTGTTGCCAGGACGGGTGCCTTCTGCAGGCAGGGAATTCCTGACTTGCCTTTATCAGCTTCTAGAGTTGGCTGTCATTCCTGGATTTTGGCAGCATCCAATCTCTGCTTCAGTCATCACCCTCTCCCAGCAGATCTACTGCCTCCCTCTAACAAGGACCCGGTGACTACATTACCCAGTCAAATAACCCAGGGGAATCTCCCATCTCAACTTCCTCAATGTGATCACATCTAAAACCTCTCGTTACATAAGGTAACATATTCACAGGAATTAGGAATTAGGACATGGACATCTTTGGGGAGCTATTATTCAGCCGACCACACACACCCATTTCATCCTTGAACTCTTAGCCCCATGCTCCAAATATGTCCCACCCTATTTTTCAATTCCAATAAATGATAAAACCATTCATTTAGAATCCTGGGGTGAAGTGTTGATTTTATTTTTCTCACCACTAACCTTAAGATCCAATGCAAACAATTTTGTTCATTCCACCTCCAATATCATCTAATTGTCCACTTTCTCTAGTCAAGGCTGCCACCAAAACTCCCCTCGGTGATGGCGACGCCTCCTTGCTGGTCTCTCCACCCACTATTGCAGCGGTTCTCAACCTGTGGGTGGCAAACCCTTTGGGGGTCGAACGACCCTTTCACAGGGGTCGCCTAAGACCATCGGAAAACACATATAAAATTACATATTGTTTTTGTGATTAATCGCTATGCTTTAATTATGTTCAATTTGTAACAATGAAACTACATCCTGCATATCAGATATTTATGTTACAATTCATACCAGTAGCAAAATTACAGTTATGAAGTAGCAACGAAAATAATTTTATGGTTGGGGGTCACCACAACATGAGGAACTGTATTAAAGGGTCGCGGCATTAGGAAGGTTGAGAACCCCTGCACTATTGCCTTTTCCAATCCAGTCTCCCTATTACAGACGGAATTATATTTTAAAAATTCAAATCTGATTTAGTCACCCTTTAAAAAAAAATCGTTCAGTGGCTCGGTATATTTCAATTCAACATAGAGAAATGGGTTCTTCACCGTCCCTGTACCCTGCACCTGTTGCTGTAACTGTCAACACAGACAGCAGGCATTTAGGGAGCCGACCTACCCACGCACATTTTTGCAAAGGACAAAAGTCAGGCAGGAGCATACGGGAGTGGAGCCCGAGAAACCACCGCTTGGACCTGCCCACCCCAGGCAGGCAGAGCGCACAGAGGCGCTGAAGTTCTGAGAGACGGTGATCCTGGGATGCGGGACCTGCAGGTGGACTTCGGATGCCAAACTCGCTAGAAACAATGCAAATTGGGAACAGGCATGGCCCCCTCCCCCGCCCATTAAGGGGAAGCTGTGGTCAAAAGCTTTTTGTTCCGCAACTGCGCTCCCCAGATCCTGGGCGCGCCGCCTCGACTGTGGTCTCCGTCCTCTGAGCTGCGCTTTCTAGTGACTTGGATTTTCTTCCCGCGAACCGTCGGGTTCCTAGAGGTGCCGGGGGAAGATGGGAGCCGGATCTCCGAGGAGCCCCGAGCCTCCGTGGCCGCCAGCGCCCTCTCTCTCCGGCTCCAGGGGGGCCCTCCCGGCGGTGCTGATGCTGCTCGCGCTGCCGGCTGCCTGGGGTGAGATGCGGGCGGGCGGGCGTGGGGAGCGCCTCCAGCCGGGACGCAGCCTCCGGATCCCCGCATCCTGGGGGTTCGTTTCCAGTGGGCTCAGCTGCGAGAGGGCGAGGGCACTGGGCTCTGCGACCCCCTCTGTGTCCTCAGACCCTCCTGGCCTCTGGGTAGAGTCGGGTTCCCCTCTGCAGGGTCTTAAGCGTCCCCAGCGCGGGGAGAGCGCAGATGCGCAGGTGGCGCAGCATGAAGTCCTTGCCTTCCCTGCTGACCAGGACTGGCTGTGTGAGGACGGGGCGCTGGTCCGAGTGCCAGAAAGAGGTCCGGGCATTCCACCGGCCTGGGTTCTAATCCTGGAAACTTCTTAACTGTGGGGAAAGTGAGGACCCCTGCCTGCCTCCCTTTCCTCTTCTGTGAAATGGCAACGCCCTTAGCCCTACCTCACGGGGCTGCCATCTAAATGGCATAAAGCATGCCAAGGGGCGAACCCAGCGCCTGTCACTTCATTTCTGTTCCCCAGTCATTAGCTCTGAGCTTTGTCCATGGGGGTGTTTGGACCAGCAGCGCTGGGAGGTGCGGTTTTCCCTGGAAATCTGCCCTGTATCCGGCCAATATTCAGCCCATGCCCTCCCCAAACCAGCACCTCCATCATCAATGCGCACTCACTGAGCGGCTACTTGAGGGCATACCCCTGGCAGGGCACTTGGGGTTAGGAGAACTAGTGACACCCCAGAACCCTCAGCGCAGCTGGCTTCCAGGAGAAGGCACCCTGGAAAAGTGGACCCGTTATAGCCATGAGTTTAGAACTAAATAAAACCATTATAACCATTATGGAAATTTTGAGGTCATGCCTTCCCTTCCTTCCTTCCTTCCTTCTGACTTTAGGTAAACAACTTCAATGAGGGCCCTTCTCTTATTTTTGGCTTTCCAAAAAGACCTATGAGTTGCGGGGGCTCCCTGGTCACATCTCATTTGGAGTGACAGGCTGGTTCTGTTTGCCCAGCCTCTTCTGGACAACTGAGCTGGGCTCTTCCCTGTCATTAGACACTTCACATTCGTTATTGGATGGCGCCCTCTCTCATGGGAAAAGAAAAACCAGGTTTTCAGAAATGTTGGTGTTAATGTTTCATCTCCTTAGACATCAGAAGGTAACCTGTTAGGGGAGGAAATGTAATAGAACCTAAAGTTTTATTTTCAGAAAAGAAGCGTTGCCAGTGAGGTAAGCCAGCTGTTGTCAGTGCTTGGACATTGCTGTGGACCTTGTGAGCATCTGGCTCCCTTACTGGGATATTGTGATAGTGTCCCCTGTTAACAATCTCAGACATTATACACTGCCCCCCAATTTATTTTACTAAGGTCACCACACTAGCCTCTGAATGTGAAACAGCCGAAACCCATGGTGGGCAAACTGTGGATTGCAAGCCACATGCAGCTCTTTGGTCCCTTGAGTGTGGCTCTTCCACAAAATACCATGCAGACGTGCACGTACAGTGCGATTGAAACTTCGTGGCCCATGTGCAGAAGTCAGTTTTCAGCCTGGGCGAGTCTATTTTGAAGAAGTACTGTTGATATTTGGCTCTGTTGACGAATGAGTTTGCGGACCACTGGTAAACTAGGCTAACTAGTGATTTACTTGCCAAAGTAGTTTAGATAAAGAAAGTGTTGATGGAATCCTGACAATGTCACAGCACTTTGGAGTTGGAAAGAAGTCTGAGAGAGCCGTGCCTCCCAGGCGGATGCATACAGACTCAGAGTGGTCAGGTTTTATGAAATCTCTGTCATTGGGAGACCCGGGTTCTGGCTTGTCCAGTGTCTGCTGCATACCAAAGGGGGGTCTGGGATCCAGCAAGTCAATGAGCATCCCTAACTTCCAGTGTCCATGAGTAGAAAATGAGCATATTTGGCATCCTGTTATCTGAGAGGGCGATTGCAAAAATTGCATGAAGTAGTGTCTGTGATAGTGTTTTGGAACCTGAAAATCCCCGTGCACATCTAAGGGACCCTGACTAGGAAGTCACACAAGACAACCTCAAAGCCACAGGAGGTCTGAAATGGAGACATCTCAGCGTCAATGAGTGGAAGGAGCACAGCTCAAGCAGCACTTAGGGAGGGAACCCAAACACCAGTTGTGCAGCATGATTCACAGGGATATTGGATTTATATACCTAGGAGCACACTAAGGGAGCATGACATATTTCAGTTTACATGTATATGCTCAGATGAGAAGGTGTGTATGGTGTCCATTGCCTAGTTTTACCTACTGTAACCTCCACCATTGGACAAGTAACTTCAGAAATGTCTTGCATAGAAACACTGAGTGAAATAATTCTAATAAGGTCAACTCAAGGAAGAAAATAGCATACCTGACACCCACTCACCCACACACAGACACACAAACTCGTATACAAGCTCTTTGTCAGAGAAACGCTGTCAATCTCATCACAGCTGACCAAAGGTGGATAAAAGCAATAATGTAGAAAGTATCAAGAAACTAGCGATAGCTAGCTTTATCCATCATTACCAAGAGAGAAACTCATTCTAACTCTATTTTTGTCTGTTTAAATGTTAGTTAATGAGCATATTATATTATGATTAGTAAAGCATTTATAATGTTTATTTCATCTCTACCCTATTTCTTTAACTTTCTATTTATATGTAATATACAATGTAAGTATCTAGAAGATTTTAGCAAACATGATTAATTGTTAATTGGGCCTCACTGGCATACCCAAAACACGATACCCACTACCACAGACACACCTTAAAAAAACACATCTGATACAGTTATATCAGTTGACTATATGCTGAGACATACAAGTGTCAATCAATTTCAAAACTTCATAATAAACTACCACTAAAAATTTCCTCAAATGTTTCTAAATTATGCAAAACATTGCTAAATAAGCCATGGGTCAATAAAGAAATCACAATGGCCATTAAAAAATATTTTGAACTGAAAATATGCATTTGTACACTGGAAACCTATTTAATTTCATTAACCAATGACATCCCAATAAGTTTAATAAAGTTAAGAAACTCAAAACCCTGAAAATATGGCACATCAAAACTTTGAGAATACAGCTAAGTCTGTGCTCAGAATAAAATAATATACAAATGCTTATTTCAGAAATTATGTAAAGCTGAAAATAAAAAGATCTAAGTTACCATCTTAAAAATTTATTTTTAAACTCAGCAAATAGGCTCAATAAAATTTTTTAAAAGGTAAAATAAAAATAAGTACAAATCAATAAATCCAAAAGTTGATTACTTACAGCCTAATAAAATTGAACAATCTACCCTCCATTATTTGAATTAAGTAATAAGGCGTGTGGAAAGAAATAGATTAATCAAAACAGAACAGAACCTATTTCTAATGTAAAATACTTTTCCAATAGCTATTTCTTCTTTATAACATACTAGAGGCCCGGTGCATGAAATTCGTGCATTTGGTGGGGTCCCTCAGCCTGGCCTGAGCCCTCTCACAGTCTGGGAGCCCTCAGGGGATGTCCGACTGATGCCTTAGGACTGATCCCCAGCGCCGGCAGTCAGACATCCCTCTCCCAGTCTGGGCCTAAGGCGGTAGTCGGATATCCTTAGCACTATGGTGGAGGTGGGAGACGCTCCTGCGACCACTGCTGCACTCACCAGCCATGAACCCAGCTTGGGCTTCTGGCTGAGCAGCACTCCCCCTGTGGGAGCACATTGACCACCATGGGGCAGCTCCAGTGTTGAGCATCTACCCCCTGGTGGCCAGTGAGCATCATAGCGGCCAGTTGTTCTGCTGTTCAGTCGATTTGCGTATTAGCTTTTATTACATAGGATTGTTTAAGTCTACATGGTATTTTTATTAGTTTAACTTAAACCTTTACATCTTAAGAAGTAAATGAGTCTAATATTTAATTCAAGATGTGCATTATAAAATATAGGCCCTCACAAAGTTTAGTTGTTGGGTTTGGTCTGCAAAACATGTGCTGAATTTTCCTGTGCTGATGAATTGACCTGGCAACATCTTTTAACAGTGGTGACCACTACTGAAGGCCAGAGAAGAGGCTGTTGTGCTGCTAGGTCTGGGTGGTCAGCTGGGAGTGAAGATAGATGGTGAAACGCATGCGTGCTGCTTATTACACAAGAGGATGGGGTAAAGGAAGCCAGAGCCCAGGGTCTTTCTGATGGATAAAATGTGAAGCTATGAATTAGTTTTTCCTTCCGTGAAAGAACAGATAGATTAGATCTATATAGATATAGATAAAATAGATATAGATTAGATATAAATATATATCGATATAGATTTGGCTATACCTTAATTGCCTTCAAAATAGCAGGCTCTTTTAAAATGGATAGATGCTGTTTTAAAAAGCTCTTTTCTAAAGTTGCTGCTAAGGGAAGCAATCCTTTTACCAGCATTAAAGTGTTCATTTTCTTCTTCAATCACATCTATGAAGCATATTGGAGAAAAAGAGGAGGTGGGATAGAAGTCCCCTCATTGACCCTGCTGTCCCTGTGACCTTGGTCTTCAGGTCAATGCCAAGCCCCGCCGTATTTTGCATCTGCCATGCCTACAACACTGACTGATGAGGTTGAGTTTCCCATTGGAACATCTTTGCAGTATAAGTGCCGCCCTGGTTACCAGGGGAGAATGTTCTCTATCACCTGCCTAAAAAACTCAGTTTGGTCAAGCCCTGCAGCCTGTAAACGTAAGTAACTCTGGACTGAGAACTCTGCTGTCTCAGTGAAACATCCATAAGAACTGGTGCAATTGTTCAGATTTGGGAATGAAAACATCTATGACTTTTAATCCCTGAGGACCAGGAGAGGGAATATCTTCCGACTGCTTTGAGTTCCTGGCACCTTCATAAAAGTTCATTTCTTAAGAAACTGTCATTAGGGCATGTTCGAGGGAAATCTCCACTCACTAGTCATCTGCCATTTTCATAACTGAAACTGATGAATGCCTCAGGAAAGGGAAAAAGAAGTGCAAGTAAGAACAAAAGCCCAGACTCTGAGCCCTTTCCTCTGGTTGAATCATAGAGTAAACACTTTGGTATGGAACTCCTTCCGAACCCACAAATGGCAAAATGGAAATAACTGGAGAAGGCAAGTTTGGATCAAGAATTAATTATTCTTGTAATGAAGGGTGAGTTTGCAGTAGCATTTGGCGGGTGGTGAGGGGAGGTGACGGTTCAAAAATTGTAACAGCAATTTCTAAACAATAGTATTAGAGAGGAGAGTCAAACTACCTACCCGTTAAAACAAACCAATAGGATTTCTAAGCGAAGGTAGTAGCTTCAATACAGGCATTTAAATACCCTTGAAATGATTAAGCATATATTTAAAAGATAGAAAAAAAATCTAGAAAATGGGGGTGAGGTGCCTGTTGTACACCAAATTAATGCACATAAAACCAGGTGAAGCATTCATTGGATGGGGAGGACCAGCTCTCTAAAGAAGCAAATGGAACAAACACTAGTTGACCCACAAATATATTCTCTCCTCAAAGCACCAAGAGCTGGGGATGGTGGATTCAGGGGGAAGTGGGAGTGATTTGTTTGGGAGGATGAAGCAGGTGTGGGGAATGGGCAGATCTGAATTGTGATAGCTCCTCTCCAGAAGTGCTCACAGTGCAAGCATCATGCTGGGGACATCTTCTTGGCCTATCCTTGGGGGAGGCAACCATTTAGGAAAGAAGTAGGGGGACTGCTTCACCTTATACTTCACTTTTGCTTTGCTTTTTTGCTCACTTATAATACATACAAAATAATATAAGTGAATACTTAACATAGCGGTAACAATAAAATGAGCTCCAGTGTATACACTACTCACCTTAGAAATATTACTAGTACATTTGGAGCCTCTTGTGTGCCCTTCCCAATTCTCGTTCCTCCACCTCTAGAACGTCTCCAGAAGTAAGCACCATTCTGAATTTTATGTTTTTCATTCCCTGGAGTTTCTTTTTTTTTAATTAAAAAAATATTTTTATTGATTTCAGAGAGGAAGGAAGAGGGAGAGAGAGAGAGAAACATCAATGATGAGAGATAATCATTGATTTCCTGCCTCCTGCATGCCCCGCAGTGGGGCCCAAGCCTGCAACCCAGGCATGTGCCCCTGACTGGAACCTAACCTGGGACCCTTCAGTCCCCAGGCTGACACTCTATCTACTGAGCCAAACCAGCCAGGGCTGGAGTTTCTTTTTTATCTCCTCCCATGCATCATCCTAATCAGTATATGTATTTTTAAAATATGTATATTTTTTTTATTTCAGAGAGGAAGGGAGAGGGGGAGAGAGAAACATCAATGATGAGAGAGAACCATTGATCAGCTGACTCCTGCATGCCCCCCACTGGGGATCTAGCCAGCAAAATTTCTGAATGGGCCAGATATTGAGTTGAAATTTTAAAAAAGGAGTATGGGTGACTCCAAGATTTTTGGTTTGATCTGAAAGAAGGAAATACCAGCAATGGAATAGAAGTATTTTTTTTCCTAACACTGAACACTAAATGGTATATATACTTTTTAAATTTAAAAAAACCCACATTTTTATTGATTTCAGAGAGGAAGGGAGGAGAGAGAGAGAAACATCAATGATGAGAGAATCATTGACCGGCTGCCTCCTGCATGGCCCCTACTGGGGACTGAGCCCACAACCTGGGCATGTGCCCTTGACCAGAATTGAACCCGGGACCTTTCAGTCCGCAGGCCAGTGCTTTATCCACTGAGCCAAACCAGCTAGGGCTTAAATTTTTAAAAAATAATTCTTTATTGTTGAAACTATTACATATGTCCCCTCCCCCGCTTCCCCCCATTGTCCTCCTCCAGCCCACCCTGCCCCAGGGGCACATGTATTTTTAATCACTGTTACCCCGGTGTGTTAAATTTTTTTAAATATTATTTCCAATTGAAATTATTATTAGTCACATTTATAAAATGAAGAGACATACATACATAAATACATACATACACTACAAGACGTAAAAACGTTTTAACTAGAATTCTTCCTAGGATAAACATTGTGGCTTAGGAAGGTGAAACTCCTAAAACTCCAAAGAGGCTGTCCTGTGCAAGGCAAAGGGAAGAAGTTGCTTGTTACTGCAGAGAAGCAGGAATAGAAAGACAAGTGAGGAAGAAAATAAAATACAAATTGGCGCCCACTCCCCAGGGCAACAGCTCCCTAGAACTGCCCCCAAATAAAATGCTTTGAGCAAGTGGATTTAGGGAGAGACATATAAAAGGGCAGGTCCACTCCACGCCTACTCCACCAACAGCTGTGTCCATAGCAGATTATCCTGGGTGGTTTCTCGGAGAAACCTCCCATGCCCATGTCTCCTGGTCCTCTTGAAAGACAGTCTAGCAGATAAATGTCTCCTTCTCCTGTTGGCACCAACACATATGAAGTGGGGGGCTCATCCTCACCAGAAAGCCACAGAACAGGACAGAGGGTTTACTCTCCATCTCAAGGGTTGGACATCCTCCACTCCCCATCTAGTGACATCAGGGAGGCCAGCAAAGCACCTTCACTCCCACCAGCAGCAGGGATACATTCAGAACTTAGCGGAGCCAGAAGAAGGAAGCAGACCAGAATGGCATTACAAGGCTCAGAAGACTGAGCTTTCATTGGAACTACAACTCACAAAAGGAGGACAGAATCTACCCAACAACTAAATGACATCCATTGCTGTCACACTTTACATTTTATCTCTAATTGGCTTATTTTGCTGTTTGAATAAAGCTTGCGCTGCTTTATCTATCTATCTATCTATCTATCTATCTATCTATCTATATAGCAGCATACACACACATATATACACACACACACACACACACACACTAGAGGCCTGGTCAGGCATGGTGGGGGTCCCTCAGCCTTGCCTGCTCCATCTTGCAATCTGGGGCCCCTCGGGAGATGTTAGAGAGCCAGTTTCGGCCCGATCCCTGCAGGCCAGGTCGAGGGACCCCACCAGTGCATTAATCCATGCACCGGGCCTCTAGTATGCATATAAGAGTTTTGGTTAATCTCTTCCCACCCTCCCCTCTTGCCCCTTCCCTCTGAGATTCATGTTTCCATGCCTGTGCATTGAACATCTTCCCCCTGGTGGTCAGTGTGCATCATAGCTACTGGTTGAATGGTCGACCCATCACTTAGGTTTTGATATATATAGATGGCATTGTTCTAACTATACCAAATAACACTTGACAATTATTTGATATTATTTGTCTCAATTTGTAATAGTATCAAGTCTGGCCCTAGCTATACCAACTCTCGTGAATGGCTCACCGCAGCATTCCATCACTATACAAAGCCTCTGTTGAAGTAAATATAAATGTCACTAAATTTTCCAAATTTTATGTCACACTTTAAACAGTTTGGGGCATACTAATTGAGAATTTCTGCCTTTAATATTTAAAATACGAGATTAGTGTTCAACTCTCTTTGTTCTGCTTGGATTTCCTTTGGTTCTACTTTGATGAATCTTATTTACCTTAGATTTACATAAAAATGCATCTGAATTTGAAAAAGAAGAGAGATTCCATCCAGTCTAGAAAGTATAAAGGAGAAAATTTAAAGTCCCAATACAGACATAAGATTTGAGAAATTGACAGTTTTACAAAAGGAAATTGTTCTGAATTCTTCAAGATGGTGGTCTCTTGTAAGTAACAATCTAAGCAGGGACATTAGAATGTAACTGTTAGGTCGGAGAGAGCCCAGGATCAGATACATGCGGACATGTGACGAGATAATGGACTACCCCTGGCATTTCTAACAGATCAGCATGCCAGATACAGATACTGGCTTCTCCATGACCCCCACACAGATACTGACTCATTCCTGAATACCTTGCTGACCCCCTACAGCTGAAACTTCCTCAGCTGAATACCTCAGCTCATGTCCCCGCCCCTCACCCAACCGCAGTTAGGTGGGTATAAAAAAAGCACCCCCCTCCCTGTCTTTTGGGGTACGTGGGTCTCCTGGGGACGCAGAAATAAACCTTTCCTTTCCTTTCTTTTCTGATTCACTGGACTCTCTATTTCTTACGCTGCCTCCTGAGCCACCTAACCTAACAGTTACCACTATGTCATCTTAAGGAAGTCACTAAACCTCTTTGATACTCAATTTACCCCACTTTAAGATAAGGATGAAAATACCAATGTGCTGGGTTACTGTTGAGATCAGTACTACTTGTTTCAAAATATGGTTTAGAAAGAATCTGCCAGAAGGAAGGAAACATGATAAAATGACTACCTACATAGGATTTCCTAAGGAACATACCATAGCCATGCAGCATTAGAAGAAATATATCTGTACACTGGAATTTTATCCAGCCATGAAAGCAAAACATCTGGAGAAGCACTTAGTGACATATAAAGATGTTTATTATAACTATTTGATGTGAAAAAAAATCAGATGGCAAAACAGTTTGTATGGCAATACCTCATTTTATTAAAAGATCATATATCTATGCCTGTTTCTATATTTTCACCTCCATCTCTAATTCTGTAACCATTTTTATATTCAGACCCTGGTAACTAGTTTTAAGCCTCTTTGGTGAAGGCTGTGGGGCAGAGGGGGGCGGGGTCCTTTACCTTTTGGCTGTGTAGCAGGCTGCTTCTTCAAGAAGATTCACACTCCCATTTCTTCAAGCTCCTCTGTGTCTGTAAACTGGTTCTCAAGTCTGGGAATTGGCTGACGGAGAACCACACT